TATTCAATGTGTCATTTTGCAATTTCCTTTATTTCCAGTGAAATCCTGTAAGTTTATTCTGCTTCACAAAAATCTCTATAATCCAAAGAAGATACTGATACTGACTTGGTTTCTTAGTTTCAATCACTCTCCTACCATCAGAACATAGCTTGCCTTTTTTATAAATATTTTCACTTCAATTTCATGAATTTAAGGATAGTACTAGATTGACAGATAGGTCTCATCATTTTACTGGTGATATAACTAAAAGTAACCAATAGTTCTATTCTGATAGTTTCATGAATTCCCCCATCTATGGGTTAAATAGTAAGACAGACTGGGCTCTTCAGCCTTGGATGGCAACCAGTCTAGGAGAAGGGCAACTCTGAATTCGAAACCATATATAGCTCTGGCAGAGCACATACTATGCAACTAATGAAATGATCGGTGGGTTAGATGTATCCTTATGTTCTATTAGTGTCTTCTCTTTCAGTTCTCACCTGTCGGACTCTCTTCCAGCTTCTTGCTTTCCTGTTAACTATGATCTTCAAAAATTTCAGTGCAACATCAATCATCATCTTCTGACTCCTTGAATTATGTTCTTTTTATTGTCCTCTTTGGTCTAATCTGATTCTTGTAGAACTAAAACATGGTAAGAAGGGTCAGGTGCTTTTTGGTGTGGTACAAGGAGCTTACCATTTTCCCAGAATCTTGATGATGAATTTATACAAGCTTGGTTTTTCTTGAAAATTCTTCAAGTTTAATTCAAGAAAATATAGAAATGCAAAAACATTTGACTGCTTTTTTAATATTTTAAATGATATCCATATTTGTTTTATTAAATATTTTGGAGCCTTTCTCTTCAAGAACCAACACCATGTTGATGTAGATTAAAATATACTTATAATATCCTTTACGGAGGGGTAAGCCTCCAAAGATAAGAGCAACCTTCCAGGTGGATGCTGGGAGATTTAGATATAAACTCAACCAATGTCTACTTTCTGACTTAAGTCTAAATATAACCTATGTGCTGTGTCCTGTTAGAATATTGATGATCATGGCTCTCCACAATTAACTGTCTTGTTAAATTTTCTTGTCTTTTTCTTATTTCTTCCAAACCCTGTTCCACTATCCATTTACTCAAGCTCATTAGGTAGCTCATTAGGTAGCTCATGAGCTGTTTTCTTCTGTCCCTTTTGCCTTCAATCTGTCCTGTGAGTATCAAATTTTCCAACCCCACTTTGCTCTTTACATGCCCAAAAAATTTCAATTATTTCTTCCTGATGTTAAGTATAAATGTCCTTTTTGTTTTTATTTTCTTTCAAACTTGACATTGCTTACATGTTTAGTACATGTTATTCTCAGTATTCTTCTGTAGAACATTTTTGTTGCTTCAAGTCTCTTCTTCATTTGTGAGGAGATTGCCCAGCATTCACTGCCATATAGGAGGACTGATATTACATAACAGTTCAGTACACTTTTCTCTGTTTCTAATGAAACATTTCCTGTTTTTAATACTTTGCTCAGTTTTTGGAAGGTATCTTTCACCTTCCCAATGTGCCTTTGAATTTCAGTATTACATTTGTCATTCTCTGTTAGAACACTTCCCAGATATTCAAATCTTTGTAATTGTTTGCTTTTTGTATCTTCCATTTGCAATTTGCATGGTGGACTGTTTCTTTGCTAACAACCGTGCATTTTGTTTTATTGCAATTGATGCTTAGTCCCTTCTTGCTCTCCTCCACTACCTTCTTCAGGAGTTCTTGTATTTTTCTTTCTATGTTTGCTTTCAATGCTGTGTTATCTGCATATCTAAGGTTCATAAGATTATTTCTGCCAATAATGAATCCAGGTAGGACTTCTAATTCTCTCAGAATCACCTCATTGTATAGGTTTAATATGTTCCATGAGAAGACACATTCTTGTCTTACATCCCTCTCTATTTTTTTATATTTACTGAATTCATTTTCCATTCATATGCAGGTAGTTTGCTGCCAATATAGGTTATTTCAATATTCTGCCCAAATGTGTCAAAGTTCCAAAATTTCTTTTAATTTTTATTCTATGCAATATATATTTAACACTAAATAACCTAACATGTGTTGATATGTAAAGTTAACCAACTTAACTAAAATTGAAGATCCAATTATTCTCAACAGAATGAATTTGGAGGTGGTGTAATATATAATGTCTCAGAAGAAGAAATCCTGAGTTCAAATTCCAGTCAATTTTATATTTCACTTAAGCACAAATAATCATGGGATAGGCATCTCATCTCCATCTCGTCTCCTCCCTGCTACAGGTTAATTAGCAAAGCAGACTGGACTCTCTAACCATGGTTGACAATTAATCTAGAAGGACAAATCTGAATTCAAAACCTGAACCAATTTACAAGTTGCTCTTGGGTATCAAACCCAGAATCCAAACATTTCATTGTTATGGTGAAAACATCAGCATCAGAAAGTTGAATGTGGTCAATGGCAGAATATAACAGACCAGATTTATGGCATTAAATTGCAATAGTGACATGTAAAAGATTCTTCAAACTGGACAATGAATAAACCTAATTATTCTGAGTCAGATTGAAACCATGGAAATATATAGAGTAACACCTTGTGTCTTCTAATATTTGTGCAACCCTGATGACAACACATGTTGGCGTCCTAAAAGAAAACCTAGTTAGTGATACTAAATATTGGCAAAAATCTGAAACATTTTAGAAGCAAATGGAAAAAAACGTATTTTAGATTTTCTTTTTCCTGAAAAGATCCATTGACGGTTTAAAGGACAAAAGTTTTATCTTCCAAGAGACATTACTTAATTCTTGCAACAATTAATAATTCTCAGTGATTGGCATCATATAACTGCTTGAAAGATTAATCTTCCAGGCTCTGATGGCAGGTTCAATTATTTCTAGTTGCCACATCATGTTCGCTCTGTACCTGATTAGGTTACATTAAGGAAATAATCAACTTTAATGTGTAATTCTTTACACAAGGGAAATGAATAACATTCCTGAGATGTAGAAAGGAAACTCCCAAGGAATTTAATTAAAATCATGCTTTTTACTATCAGACAATTCATTTCCAACTGGTTAACTGTGCTTGTCATTAACTTTATTTATATTAAATATTAATAATGACTGATTTAAAACCTGTTGATCAGAAACTTTTCATTTCAAATCTGGTTTTGGCAGACATTTGTTTTTAATTAGAAGGAATCTCTTACAGCGATCTCTCTCATGGCTCTCCACAGCTTCATTTCTTTTATGGCTTTCAGCAATATATTCTACTTTATAATACTTCTTTGACTTTGTAATATTTGCTCTGCTACACATTTGCTCAAAATCGTCAAGTAGGTTACTTTCTGTGTTCCATTACTTCTCTTGTCACTGAGATACTGGGTGAGTATTTGATTCTCCAAACCTTCTTTCCTCATTATGTGTTGTCAAATATTCATTTGTATTTTTCTGATTGCTAACAAATGTTTCTTTCTCATTCTTATTCCCAAAAATTCCTTTTTTTTTTTCTTGGATAATCTTCTTAACATTTGTTGGCAGAATTAAATCTCTGTCACTTCGAGCCTCTTCTTCATCTGTAAGGAAATTGTCCAGTATTAATGGAGACAATACTTCATTAAAGAAGTTCACACAACTTAAAATTGTTACTTGAAGCTGTAAACAAACAATATTGGAGTGAAATTAGTTAATGAAGCATTTAGATATATTTCTCTCTTATGTACCTTTTATTTTCAGACAATGGACAATTGTCTCTCTATAACATTTTGTATTTTATCTCACTAAGCCATTGTTTCTCTTTTACGGTCCCTTTTTGTTATTGTGACATTTGTTAAGTTAAAGGGAAGAGAAGAAGAGGGTAAACAGAAAATAACCTACTTGGCATTATCTTCTTTCCTCAATATCTGTCCTCCAAATTTCTCCTTTATGACCCCTCTTTGCCATAGTGCTTAAAGGCCAGAGAATTGATTGATTGATTGCTTATCAACCCCTTGAAGGTTATTTAAAGCCAGGAAATATTTTTAGATAGTAAGAATTTTTATTAGATAATAATGGTTTAGTGAAACAAGTCTTACTAATTAACTCGTGGGGGTGTGGGTGGGGGAAGAAGGAGGTGGATTCTTTCCTTTTCCAAGGTTATTTATGAATTGGAACCTGACTCTCCAATCAACAATTCCAAGTCATTATCCAGTTAGTTTTTACACATTTTGTTAAAATTTGAGATCATTTGAGTGAGAATTAACTATGTTATTACATAATAAAATTAAGTTAATTTTTTGAGGGGACATCATGTGTGTGTGTGTGTATATATATATATATATATATATATATATATATATATATGTGTGTGTGTGTGTGTGTTTCTGTGTGCTTAAAAAATTAAAGTCAGATCCAAGTTATTAATAAATGAATTAATAAATGACAAACATGAAAATATGATGCTGAAAAAAAAAAGTACTTTAGACTAGCGAAGTGAATAAAAACAAACAAAATATTCAGTTTATACTGTCTTACATTAAAAAAAAGATCATTGACATTTCAAAGCAGCAATATATCTTGACAACCTTAATGTCAGATTTTTTCTTTGATATACAGTTTGCTGTTTAAATATATATTTTTGTGGGGTATTAAACAAATATTGAATTACTGACTTCACAAAGCAAACTATCATTTTGGGGAAAATAAAAGGTTCAATGTATTAAGTTTTCTCTTTTGCACAGAGATAAAATTAATATTGAATTTATCAATGATTTTTTGGAGAGTATTTCTAGAACACGATAAAATTTTCATGAACATGTATATTCAGCAACTATTAATTTTTTTAAGTAGTATTTACTGCCAATCTTGTAATATGAAATTGATAGTTTGGTCTTGTCATGTTAATGTTGAAATTTCTAAACCTAACCATAAGTTCTATTTTAATAGGTTTCATCTCTCACATTTCTTGCTTATGGAACTCTCTTCCAGCTCTTTGCTTATGGAACTCTCTTCCAGCTCCTTGCATATGGAACTCTCTTCCAGCTCTTTTATAAAACTCTCTTCCACTCTTGCTTCTCTTCCAGCTCCTTGCTTATGGAACTCTCTTCCAGCTCCTTGCTTATGGAACTCTCTTCCTCTCTTGCTTATGGAACTCTCTTCCAGCTCCTTGCTTATGGAACTCTCTTCCAGCGCCTTGCTTATGGAACTCTCTTCCAGCTCCTTGCTTATGGAACTCTCTTCCAGCTCCTTCTTCTCTTTGCTTATGGAACTCTCTTCCAGCTCCTTGCATATGCAACTCTCTTCCAGCTCTTTTGCTTATGGAACTCTCTTCCAGCTCCTTGCTTATGGAACTCTCTTCCAGAACTCTGTATCTCTTCCAGCTCCTTGCTTATGGAATTCTCTTCCAGCTCCTTGCTTATGGAACTCTCTTCCAGCTCCTTGCATATGGAACTCTCTTCCAGCTCCTTGCTTATGGAACTCTCTTCCAGCTCCTTGCATATGGAACTCTCTTCCAGCTCATTGCTTATGGAACTCTCTTCCAGCTCATTGCATATGGAACTCTCTTCCAGCTCATTGCTTATGGAACTCTCTTCCAGCTCTTTGCTTATGGAACTCTCTTCCAGCTCCTTGCTTATGGAACTCTCTTCCAGCTCCTTGCTTATGGAACTCTCTTCCAGCTCCTTGCTTATGGAACTCTCTTCCAGCTCCTTGCTTATGGAACTCTCTTCCAGCTCTTTGCTTATGGAACTCTCTTCAGCTCCTTGCTTATGGAACTCTCTTCCAGCTCTTTTGCTTATGGAACTCTCTTCCAGCTCCTTGCTTATGGAACTCTCTTCCAGCTCCTTGCTTATGGAACTCTCTTCCAGCTCCTTGCTTATGGAACTCTCTTCCAGCTCCTTGCTTATGGAACTCTCTTCCAGCTCCTTGCTTATGGAACTCTCTTCCAGCTCCTTGCATATGGAACTCTCTTCCAGCTCTTTGCTTATGGAACTCTCTTCCAGCTCCTTGCTTATGGAACTCTCTTCCAGCTCTTGCTTATGGAACTCTTCCAGCTCCATGCTCTCTTCCAGCTCCTTGCTTATGGAACTCTCTTCCAGCTCCTTGCTTATGGAACTCTCTTCCAGCTCCTTGCTTATGGAACTCTCTTCCAGCTCCTTTGCATATGGAACTCTCTTCCCTCTGCTCAGCTTTGCTTATGGAACTCTCTTCCAGCTCCTTGCTTATGGAACTCTCTTCCAGCTCTCTTGCTTATGGAACTCTCTTCCAGCTCTTGGCTTATGGAACTCTCTTCCAGCTCCTTGCTTATGGAACTCTCTTCCAGCTCTTTGCTTATGGAACTCTCTTCCAGCTCTTTGCTTATGGAACTCTCTTCCAGCTCCTTGCTTATGGAACTCTCTTCCAGCTCTTTGCTTATGGAACTCTCTTCCAGCTCCTTGCTTATGGAACTCTCTTCCAGCTCCGTGCTTATGGAACTCTCTTCCAGCTCCTTGCTTATGGAACTCTCTTCCATATGGAATTCTTTTTTCAGCTCCTTGCATGGAACTCTCTTCCAGCTCTTTGCTTATGGAACTCTCTTCCAGCTCCTTGCTTATGGAACTCTCTTCCTTGCTTATCTCTTTGCTTATGGAACTCTCTTCCAGCTCCTTGCTTATGGAACTCTCTTCCAGCTCCTTGCTTATGCTCTCTTCCAGCTCCTTGCTTATGGAACTCTCTTCCAGCTCCTTGCTTATGGAACTCTTGCTCTTCCAGCTCCTTTGCTTATGGAACTCTCTTCCAGCTCTTTGCTTATGGAACTCTTCCAGCTCCTTGCTTATGGAACTCTCTTCCAGCTCCTTGCTTATGGAACTCTCTTCCAGCTCCTTGCTTATGAAACTCTCTTCCAGCTCCTTGCTTATGGAACTCTCTTCCAGCTCCGTGCTTATGGAACTCTCTTCCAGCTCTTTGCTTATGGAACTCTTGCATATGGAACTCTTCCAGCTCCTTGCTTATGGAACTCTCTTCCAGCTCTTTGCTTATGGAACTCTCTTCCAGCTCTTTGCTTATGGAACTCTCTTCCAGCTCTTTGCTTATGGAACTCTCTTCCAGCTCTTTGCTTATGGAATTCTCTTCCAGCTCCTTGCTTATGGAACTCTCTTCCAGCTCCTTGCTTATGGAACTCTCTTCCAGCTCCTTGCTTATGGAACTCTCTTCCAGCTCCTTGCTTATGGAACTCTCTTCCTGCTCTTTGCTTATGGAACTCTCTTCAGCTCCTTGCTTATGGAACTTCTCTTCCAGCTCCCTTGCTTATGGAACTCTTCCAGCTCTTTGCTTAGGAACTCTCTTCCAGCTCCTTGCTGGAACTCTCTTCCAGCTCCTTGCTTATGGAACTCTCTTCCAGCTCTTTGCTTATGGAACTCTCTTCCAGCTCCTTGTTGTGGAACTCTCTTCCAGCTCTTTGCTTATGGAATTCTCTTCCAGCTCTTGCTTATGGAACCTTTCTTATGGAACTCTCTTCCCAACTCTTTGCTTTGCTGGAACTCTCTTCCAGCTCCTTGCTTATGGAACTCTCTTCCAGCTCCTTGCTTATGGAACTCTCTTCCAGCTCCTTGCTTATGGAACTCTCTTCCAGCTCTTTTCTCTTCAGCTCTTGCTTATGGAACTCTCTTCAGCTCCTTGCTTAACTCTCTTCTTCCAGCTCCTTGCTTATGGAACTCTCTTCCAGCTCCTTGCTTATGGAACTCTCTTCCAGCTCCTTGCTTATGGAACTCTCTTCCAGCTCTTTGCTTATAGAACTCTCTTCCAGCTCCTTGCTTATGGAACTCTCTTCCAGCTCCTTGCTTATGGAACTCTCTTCCAGCTCCTTGCTTATGGAACTCTCTTCCAGCTCTCTTGCTCCTTGCTTATGAACTCTCTTCCAGCTCCTTGCTTATGGAACTCTCTTCCCAGCTCCTTTTGCTTATGGAACTCTCTTCCAGCTCCTTGCTTATGGAACTCTCTTCCAGCTCTTTGCTTATGGAACTCTCTTCCAGCTCCTTGCTTATGGAACTCTCTTCCAGCTCTTGCTTATGGAACTCTCTTCCAGCTCTTTGCTTATGGAACTCTCTTCCAGCTCTTTGCTTATGGAACTCTCTTCCAGCTCCTTGCTTATGGAACTCTCTTCCAGCTCTTCCCGCTTTGCTTATGGAACTCTCTTCCAGCTCTTGCTTATGGAACTCTCTTCCAGCTCCCTTGCTTATGGAACTCTCTTTCCAGCTTATTGGAACTCTCTTCCAGCTCCTTGCTTATGGAACTCTCTTCCAGCTCCTTGCTTATGGAACTCTTCTCCCTCTTCCAGCTCCTTGCTTATGGAACTCTCTTCCAGCTCTTTGCTTATGGAACTCTCTTCCAGCCAGGAACTCTCTTCCAGCTCCTTGCTTATGGAACTCTCTTCAGCTCCTTGCATATGGAATTCTCTTCCAGCTCCTTGAACTCTCTTCCAGCTCCTTGCTTATGGAACTCTCTTCCAGCTCCTTGCTTATGGAACTCTCTTCCAGCTCCTTATGGAACTCTCTTCCAGCTCTTTGCTTATGGAACTCTCTTCCAGCTCCTTGCTTATGGAACTCTCTTCCAGCTCCTTGCTTATGGAACTCTTTCAGCTCCTTGCTTATGGAACTCTCTTCCAGCTCTTTGCTTATGGAACTCTCTTCCAGCTCTTTGCTTATGGAACTCTCTTCCAGCTCCTTGCTTATGGAACTCTCTTCCTCTCTTCCAGCTCTTTGGAATGGAAACTCTCTTCCAGCTCCTTGCTTATGGAACTCTCTTCCAGCTCCTTGCTCTTCTCTTCCAGCTTATGGAACTCTCTTCCAGCTCCTTGCTTATAAAACTCTCTTCCTCCTTGCTTGTGCTCTCTTCCAGCTCCTTGCTTATGGAACTCTCTTCCAGCTCCTTGGAACTCTCTTCCAGCTCTTTGCTTATGGAACTCTCTTCCAGCTCTTTGCTTATGGAACTCTCTTCTTTGCTTAAACTCTTCTTCCAGCTCCTTGCTTATGGAACTCTCTTCCAGCTCCTTTGCATATGGAACTCTCTTCCAGCTCTTTGCTTATGGAACTCTCTTCCAGCTCTTTGCTTATGGAACTCTCTTCCAGCTCCTTGCCTCTTCCAGCTCCTTGCTTATGGAACTCTCTTCCAGCTCCTTGCTTATGGAATCTCTTCCAGCTCCTTGCTTATGGAACTCTCTTCCTGCTCTTTGCTTATGGAACTCTCTTCCAGCTCCTTGCTTATGGAACTCTCTTCCAGCTCTTTGCTTATGGAACTCTCTTCCAGCTCCTTGCTTATGGAATTCTCTTCCAGCTCCTTGCTTATGGAACTCTCTTCCAGCTCCTTGCTTATGGAACTCTCTTCCAGCTCTTTGCTTATGGAACTCTCTTCCAGCTCCTTGCTTATGGAACTCTCTTCCAGCTCCTTGCTTATGGAACTCTCTTCCTGCTCTTTGCTTATGGAACTCTCTTCCAGCTCCTTGCTTATGGAACTCTCTTCCAGCTCCTTGCATATGGAATTCTCTTCCAGCTCTTTGCTTATGAACTCTCTTCCAGCTCCTTGAAACTCTCTTCCAGCTCCTTGCTTATGGAACTCTCTTCTTCTTGCTTATGGAATTCTCTTCCAGCTCCTTGCTTATAAAATTCTCTTCCAGCTCCTTGCTTATGGAACTCTCTTCCAGCTCCTTGCTTATGGAACTCTCTTCCAGCTCTTTTTATGGAACTCTCTTCCAGCTCCTTGCTTATGGAACTCTCTTCCAGCTCCTTGCTTATGGAACTCTCTTCCAGCTCCTTGCTTATAACTCTCTTCCAGCTCTACTTCCTTGCTTATGGAACTCTCTTCCAGCTCCTTGCTTATGGAACTCTCTTCCAGCTCCTTGCATATGGAACTCTCTTCCAGCTCCTTGGAACTCTCTTCCTCCTCTTGCTTATGAACTCTCTTCCAGCTCCTTGCTTATGGAACTCTCTTCCAGCTCCTTGCTTATGGAACTCTCTTCAGCTCCTTGCTTATGGAACTCTCTTCTTTGCTTATGGAACTCTTCCAGCTCTTTGCTTATGGAACTCTCTTCCAGCTCTTTGCTTATGGAACTCTCTTCCAGCTCCTTGCTTATGGAACTCTCTTCCAGCTCCTTGCTTATGGAACTCTCTTCCAGCTCCTTGCTTATGGAACTCTCTTCCAGCTCCTTGCTTATGGAACTCTCTTCTCCTTGCTTATGGAATTCTCTTCCAGCTCCTTGCTTATGGAACTCTCTTCCAGCTCTTTGCTTATGGAACTCTCTTCCAGCTCCTTGCTTATGGAACTCTCTTCCAGCTCCTTGCATATGGAACTCTCATCCAGCTCTTTGCTTATGGAACTTTCTTCTTCTTGCTTATGGAATTCTCTTCCAGCTCCTTGCTTATGGAACTCTCTTCCAGCTCTTTGCTTATGGAACTCTCTTCCAGCTCCTTGCATATGGAATTCTCTTCCAGCTCCTTGCTTATAAAATTCTCTTCCAGCTCTTTGCTTATGGAACTCTCTTCTCCTTGCTTATGGAACTCTCTTCCAGCTCCTTGCTTATGGAACTCTCTTCCAGCTCTTTGCTTATGGAACTCTCTTCCAGCTCCTTGCTTATGGAACTCTCTTCCAGCTCCTTGCATATGGAACTCTCTTCCATCTTTGCTTATGGAACTCTCTTCCAGCTCTTTGCTCCTTGCTTATGGAACTCTCTTCCAGCTCCTTGCTTATGAACTCTCTTCCATCTTTGCTTATGGAACTCTCTTCCAGCTCCTTGCTTATGGAATTCTCTTCCAGCTCCTTGCTTATGGAACTCTCTTCCAGCTCTTTGCTTATGGAACTCTCTTCCAGCTCTTCCAGGAACTCTTTGCTTATGGAACTCTCTTCCAGCTCTCTTGCTCCTATGGAACTCTCTTCCAGCTCCTTGCTTATGGAACTCTCTTCCAGCTCCTTGCTTATGGAACTCTCTTCCAGCTCCTTGCTTATGGAACTCTCTTCAGCTCCTTGCTTATGGAACTCTCTTCCAGCTCTCCTTGCATTTGGAACTTCTCTTCCAGCTCCTTGCTTATGGAACTCTCTTCCAGGAACTCTTCTTTGCTTATGGAACTCTCTTCCAGCTCCTTTCTTATGGAACTCTCTTCCAGCTTATGGAACTCTTGCTTATGGAACTCTCTTCAGCTCTTTGCTTATGGAACTCTTCCAGCTCTTTGCTTATGGAACTCTCTTCCAGCTCTTTGCTTATGGAACTCTCTTCCAGCTCCTTGCTTATGGAACTCTCTTCCAGCTCCTTGCTTATGGAACTCTCTTCCAGCTCCTTGCTTATGGAACTCTCTTCAGCTCCTTGCTTATGGAACTCTTCCAGCTTTGCTTATGGAACTCTCTTCCAGCTCCTTGCTTATGGAACTCTCTTCCAGCTCCTTGCTTATGGAACTCTCTTCCAGCTCCTTGCTTATGGAACTCTCTTCCAGCTCCTTGCTTATGGAACTCTCTTCCAGCTCCTTGCTTATGGAACTCTCTTCTCCTTGCTTATGGAATTCTCTTCCAGCTCCTTGCTTATGGAACTCTCTTCCAGCTCTTTGCTTATGGAACTCTCTTCCAGCTCCTTGCTTATGGAACTCTCTTCCAGCTCCTTGCTTATGGAACTCTCTTCCAGCTCTTTGCTTGGAACTCTCTTCCAGCTCCTTGCATGGAATTCTCTTCCAGCTCCTTGCTTATGGAACTCTCTTCCAGCTCTTGGGAACTCTCTTCCAGCTCCAGCTCCTTGCTTATGGAACTCTCTTCCAGCTCCTTGCTTATGGAACTCTCTTCCAGCTCCTTGCTTATGGAATTCTCTTCCAGCTCCTTGCTTATGGAACTCTCTTCCAGCTCTTTTCCAGCTTTGCTTATGGAACTCTCTTTCCAGCTCCTTGCTTATGGAACTCTCTTCAGCTCCTTGCTTATAAAACTCTTCCAGCTCCTTGCTTATGGAACTCTCTTCCAGCTCTTTGCTTATGGAACTCTTCCAGCTCCTTGCTTATGGAATTCTCTTCCAGCTCCTTGCTTATGGAACTCTCTTCCAGCTCCTTGCTTATGGAACTCTCTTCCAGCTCCTTGCTTATGGAACTCTCTTCCAGCTCTTTGCTTATGGAACTCTCTTCCAGCTCCTTGCTTATGGAACTCTCTTCCAGCTTATGGAACTCTCTTCCAGCTCCTTGCTTATGGAACTCTCTTCCAGCTCTTTTGCTTATGGAACTCTCTTCCAGCTCCTTGCTTATGGAACTCTCTTCCAGCTCTTTGCTTATGGAACTCTCTTCCAGCTCCTTGCTTATGGAACTCTCTTCCAGCTCCTTGCTTATGGAACTCTCTTCCAGCTCTTTGCATATGGAACTCTCTTCCAGCTCCTTGCTTATGGAACTCTCTTCAGCTCCTTGCTTATGGAACTCTCTCTTCCATAGCTTATGGAACTCTCTTCCAGCTCCTTGCTTATGGAACTCTCTTCAGCTCCTTGCTTATGGAACTCTCTTCCAGCTCCATGGAACTCTCTTCCAGCTCCTTGCTTATGGAACTCTCTCCAGCTCCTTGCTTATGGAACTCTCTTCCAGCTCCTTGCTTATGGAACTCTCTTCCAGCTCCTTGCATATGGAACTCTCTTCCAGCTCTTTGCTTATGGAACTCTCTTCTCCTTGCTTATGGAATTCTCTTCCAGCTCCTTGCTTATGGAACTCTCTTCCAGCTCCTTGCTTATGGAACTCTCTTCCAGCTCCTTGCTTATGGAACTCTCTTCCAGCAGGAATTCTCTTCCAGCTCCTTGCTTATGGAACTCTCTTCCAGCTCCTTTATGGAATTCTCTTCTCTCTTTGCTTATGGAACTCTTCCAGCTCCTTGCTTATGGAATTCTCTTCCAGCTCCTTGAACTCTCTTCCAGCTCTTTGCTTATGGAACTCTTGCTTATGGAAAATTCTCTTCCAGCTCCTTTTATGCTCTCTTCTTCTCTTGGGAACTCTCTTCCAGCTCCTTGCTTATGGAACTCTCTTCCAGCTCCTTGCTTCTCTTCCATGGAACTCTCTTCCAGCTCCTTGCTTATGGAATTCTCTTCCAGCTCCTTGCTTATGGAACTCTCTTCCAGCTCTTTGCTTATGGAACTCTCTTCTCCTTGCTTATGGAATTCTCTTCCAGCTCCTTGCTTATGGAACTCTCTTCCAGCTCCTTTGCTTATGGAACTCTCTTCCAGCTCCTTGCTTATGGAACTCTCTTCCAGCTCCTTGCTTATCCTTGGAACTCTCTTCCAGCTCCTTGCTTATGGAACTCTCTTCTCCCAGCTCTTCTTTGCTTATGGAACTCTCTTCCAGCTCCTTGCTTATGGAACTCTCTTCCAGCAGCTCTCTCTTCCAGCTCCTTGGAACTCTCTCTTCCAGCTCCTTGCTTATGGAACTCTCTTCCAGCTCCTTGCTCCAGCTCTTCTTATGGAACTCTTCCTGCTCTTGGGAACTCTCTTCTTCTTATGGAACTCTCTTCCAGCTTTGCATATGGAATTCTCTTCCAGCTCCTTGCTTATGGAACTCTTCTCTTCTCTCTTCTCCTTGCTTATGGAACTCTCTTCCAGCTCCTTGCTTATGGAACTCTCTTCCAGCTCCTTGCTTATGGAACTCTCTTCCTGCTCTTTGCTTATGGAACTCTCTTCCAGCTCCTTGCATATGGAATTCTCTTCCAGCTCCTTGCTTATAAAATTCTCTTCCAGCTCTTTGCTTATGGAACTCTCTTCCAGCTCCTTGCTTATGGAACTCTCTTCCAGCTCCTTGCTTATGGAACTCTCTTCCAGCTCCTTGCTTATGGAACTCTCTTCCAGCTCCTTGCTTATGGAATTCTCTTCCAGCTCCTTTGCTTATGGAACTCTCTTCCTTGCTTATGGAACTCTCCAGCTCCTTGCTTATGGAACTCTCTTCCAGCTCCTTGCTTATGGAACTCTCTTCCAGCTCCTTGCTTATGGAACTCTCTTCCAGCTCTTTGCTTATGGAACTCTCTTCCAGCTCCTTGCTTATGGAACTCTCTTCCAGCTCCTTGCTTATGGAACTCTCTTCCAGCTCTTTGCTTATGGAACTCTTCCAGCTCTTTGCTTATGGAACTCTCTTCCAGCTCCTTGCTTATGGAACTCTCTTCCAGCTCCTTGCTTATGGAATTTTCTCTTCCAGCTCTTTGCTTATGAAACTCTTCCAGCTCCTTGTTTATGGAATCTTCCAGCTCCTTGCTTATGGAACTCTCTTCCAGCTCCTTGCTTATGGAACTCTCTTCCAGCTCCTTGCTTATGGAACTCTCTTCCAGCTCCCTCTTGCTTATGGAACTCTCTTCCAGCTCCTTGCTTATGGAACTCTCTTCCAGCTCCTTGCTTATGGAAATCTCTTCCAGCTCCTTGCTTATGGAACTCTCTTCCAGCTCCTTGCTTATGGAACTCTCTTCCAGCTCCTTGCTTATGGAACTCTCCTTGCATGGAACTCTCTTCCAGCCCTTGCTTATGAACCCTTCCAGCTCTTGCTTCCAGCTCCTTGCTTATGGAACTCTCTTCCAGCTCCTTGCTTATGGAACTCTCTTCCAGCTCCTTGCTTATGGAACTCTTCCAGCTCCTTGCTTATGGAACTCTTCCAGCTCCTTGCTTATGGAACCTCTTCCAGCTCCTTGCTTTTCCATGGAACTCTCTCTTCCAGCTCCTTGCTTATGGAACTCTCTTCCAGCTCTTGCTTATGGAACTCTTCCAGCTCTTCCAGGAACTCTTGCTTATGGAACTCTCTTCCAGCTCCTTGCTTATGGAACTCTCTTCAGCTCCTTGCTTATGGAACTCTCTTCCAGCTCCTTTTTCTTATGGAACTCTTCCAGCTCCTTGTTTATGGAACTCTCTTCCAGCTCTTTGCTTATGGAACTCTTTTCCAGGAGACCCTTGCTTATGGAACTCTTCCAGCTCCTTGCTTATGGAACTCTTCCAGCTCCTTGCTTATGGAACTCTCTTCCAGCTCTTGCTTATGGAACTCTTTCCAGCTCTTTGCTTATGGAACTCTCTTCCAGCTCCTTGCTCATGGAACTTCTTCCAGCTCCTTGCATATGGAACCTCTTCCAGCTCTTTGCTTATGGAACCTCTCTTCCAGCTCCTTGCTTATGGAACTCTCTTCCAGCTCCCTTGCTTATGGAACTCTCTTCCAGCTCTTTTGCTTATGGAACTCTCTTCCAGGAATTCTCTTCCAGCTTTGCTTATGAACTCTCTTCCAGCTCTTGCTTATGGAACTCTTCCAGCTCCTTGCTTATGGAACTCTCTTCCAGCTCCTTGCTTATGGAACTCTCTTCCAGCTCCTTTGCTTATGGAACTCTCTTCCAGCTCCTTTGCTTATGGAATTCTCTTCCAGCTCCTTGCTTATGGAACTCTCTTCCAGCCCTTTGCTTATGGAACTCTTCCAGCTCCTTGCATATGGAACCTCTTCCAGCTCTTTTGCTTATGGAACTCTTTCCAGCCCTTATGGAATTCTCTTCCAGCTCCTTGCTTATGGAACCCTCTTCCAGCTCCTTTGCTTATGGAACTCTCTTCCAGCTCCTTGCTTATGGAACTCTCTTCCAGCTCCTTGCTTATGGAACTCTTCCAGCTCTTTGCTTATGGAACTCTCTTCCAGCCCCTTTGCTTATGGAACTCTCTTCCAGCTCCTTGCTTATGGAACTCTCTTCCAGCTCTTGCTTATGGAATCCTCTTCCAGCTTGCTTATGGAACTCTCTTCCAGCTCCTTGCTTATAGAAACTCTCTTCCAGCTCCTTGCTTATGGAACTCTCTTGGAACTCTCTTCCAGCTCTTTGCTTATGGAACTCTCTTCCAGCTCCTTGCTTATGGAACTCTTCCAGCTCCTTGCTTATGGAACTCTCTTCCAGCTCCTTGCTTATGGAACTCTCTTCCAGCTCTTGTTTATGGAACTCTCTTCCAGCTCCTTGCTTATGGAATTCTCTTCCAGCTCCTTGCTTATGGAACTCTCTTCCAGCTCCTTGCTTATGGAATTCTCTTCCAGCTCCTTTGCTTATGGAACCTCTTCCAGCTCCTTGCTTATGGAATTCTCTTCCCGCTCCTTTGCATTATGGAACTCTTCCAGCTCCTTGCTTATGGAATTCTTCCAGCTCCTTGATGGAATTCTCTTCCAGCTCCTTGCTTATGGAACTCTCTCTTGCTTATGGAACTCCTTCCAGCTTTGCTTATGGAACTCTCTTCCAGCTCCTTGCTTATGGAACCTCTTCCAGCTCCTTTGCTTATGGAACTCTCTTCCAGCTCCTTGCTTATGGAATCTCTTCCAGCTCCTTGCTTATGGAACTCTCTTCCAGCTCCTTGCTTATGGAACTCTCTTCCAGCTCCTTGCTTATGGAACTCTCTTCTCCTTGCTTATGGAACTCTCTTCCAGCTCCTTTCTTATAAAACTCTCTTCCAAAATTCTTCCAGCTCCTTGCTTATGGAACTCTCTTCCAGCTCCTTGCTTATGGAACTCTCTTCCAGCTCCAGCTTATGGAACTCTCTTTCCTTGCTTATGGAATTCTCTTCCAGCTCCTTGCTTATGGAACTCTCTTGCAGGAACTCCTTTATGGAACTCTTCCAGCTCCTTGGAACTCTCTTCCAGCTCCTTGCATATGGAATTCTCTTCAGCTCTTTGCTTATGGAACTCTCTTCCTTATAAAATTTCTTTGCTTATGGAACTCTCTTCCAGCTCTTGCTTATGGAACTCTCTTCCAGCTCCTTGCTTATGGAATTCTTCCAGCTCCTTGCTTATGGAACTCTCTTCAGCTCCTTTTTTGCTTATGGAACCTCTTCCAGCTCTTTGCTTATGGAACTCTTCCAGCTCCTTGCTTATGGAACTCTCTTCCAGCTCCTTGCTTATGGAACTCTCTTCCAGCTCCTTGCTTATGGAATTCTCTTCCAGCTCTTGCTTATGGAACTCTCTTCCAGCCTTGCTTATGGAACTCTCTTCCAGCTCCTTGCTTGGAGCTCTTTCTCTTCCCAGCTCCTTGCATATGGAACTCTCTTCCAGCTCTTTTTGCTTATGGAACTCTCTTCCAGCTTATGGAACTCTCTTCCAGCTCCTTGCTTATGGAACCTCTTCCAGCTCCTTGCTTATGGAACTCTCTTCCAGCTCCTTGCTTATGGAACTCTCTTCCAGCTCCTTGCATATGGAAACTCTTCCAGCTCTTTGCTTATGGAACTCTCTTCCAGCTCTTGCTTATGGAACTCTTCCAGCTCTTTGGAACTCATCCAGCTTTCCTTATGGAAAATGGAACCCAGCTCCTTGTTTATGGAACTCTTCCAGCTCCTTTGCTTATAAAATTCTCTTCCAGCTCCTTGCTTATGGAACCTCTTCCAGCTCCTTCTCTCCAGCTCTTGCTTGGAATTCTCTTCCAGCTCTTTTGCTTATGGAACTCTCTTCCAGCTCCTTGCTTATGGAACTCTCTTCCTGCTCTTTGCTTATGGAACTCTCTTCCAGCTCCTTGCATATGGAATTTCCAGCTCTTCCAGCTCCTTGCTTTAAAATTCTCTTCCAGCTCCTTGCTTATGGAACTCTCTTCCAGCTCCTTGAATATGGAACTCTCTTCCAGCTCCTTGCTTATGGAACTCTCTTCCAGCTCCTTGTTTATGGAATTTTTCTCTTCCTCTTCCAGCTCTTTGCTTATGGAACTCTCTTCCAGCTCCTTGCTTATGGAACTCTTCCAGCTCCTTGCTTATGGAACCTCTTCCAGCCCTTGCTTAGGAACTTTCTTCCAGCTCCTTGCTTATGGAACTCTCTTCCAGCTCCTTATGGAACTCTCTTCCAGTTCCTTGCTTATGGAATTCTCCTTCCTTATGGAATTCCTTCCAGCTCCTTGCTTATGGAACTCTCTTCCAGCTCCTTGCTTATGGAACTCTCTTCCAGCTCCCTTGCTTATGGAACTCTCTCCAGCTCCTTGCTTAACCCCTCCAGCCCTTGCATATGGAACTCCCTCTTCCAGCTCTTTGCTTATGGAACTCTCTTCTCCAGCTTTATGGAATTCTCTTCCAGCTTATTGCTTATGGAACTATCTTCCAGCCTTGCTTATGGAACTCTTTCCAGCTCCTTGTTTATGGAACTCTTCCAGCTCCTTGCTTATGGAACTCTTCCAGCTTCCTTATGCTCCTTGCTTGCATATGGAATCTCTCTTCCAGCTCCTTGCTTATGGAACTCTCTTCCAGCTCCTTGCATATGGAACTTTATGGAAATTCTTCCAGCTCTTTGCTTATGGAACTCCTTTGCTTATGGAATTCTCTTCCAGCTCCTTGCTTATGGAACTCTCTTCCAGCTCCTTGTTTATGGAACTCTCTTCCAGGAACTCCCCTTGCTTATGGAATTCTCTTCCAGCTCCTTGCTTATGGAACTCTTCTCCAGTGCTTTGCTTTCCTGCTCTTCCAGCTTTGCTTATGGAACTCCCTCTTCCAGCTCTTTGCTTATGGAACTCTCTTCCAGCATGCTTTATGGAATTCTCTTCCAGCTCTTGCCTTGGAACTTATGGAACTCTTCCAGCTCCTTGCTTATGGAACTCTTCATCCAGCTTATGAATCTTTTCCAGCTTGTTTATCTTGCTTATGGAATTCTCTTCCAGCTCTTGCTTATGGAACTCTCTTCTCCTTGCTTATGGAATTCTTCCAGCTCCTTGCTTATGGAACTCTCTTCCAGCTCCTTGCTTATGGAACTCTCTTCCAGCTCTTTTTAATTATGGAACTCTCTTCCAGCTCCTTGCATATGGAAATTCTCTTCCAGCTCCTTGTATATAAAATTCTCTTCCAGCTCTTTGCTTATGGAACTCTCTTCTCCTTGCTTATGGAACTCTTCCAGCTCCTTGCTTATGGAACTTTCCAGCTTCTTTTCTCCTTGGAATTCTCTTCCAGCTCCTTGCATATGGAACTTGCTTATGGAACTCTCTTCCAGCTCCTTGCTTATGAAATCTCTTCCAGCTCTTGGAACTCTCTTCCAGCTCCTTGCTTATGGAACTCTCTTCCAGCCCTTGCTTATGGAATTCTCTTCCAGCTCCTTGCTTATGAACTCTTCCAGCCCTTGCTTATGGAACTCTCTTCCAGCTCTTTGCTTATGGAACTCTTCCAGCTCCTTGCTTATGGAATTCTCCTCTTGCTTATGGAACTCTCTTCCAGCTCCTTGTTTATGGAATTCTCTTCCAGCCTTATGGAACTCTTTCCAGCTTTGCTTATGGAACTTCTCTTCCAGCTCTTGGAACTCTCTTCCAGCTCCTTGTTTGCATGGAACTCTCTTCCAGCTCCTTGCTTAAATGGAACTCTTCCAGAACTTTGCTTATGGAACTCTCTTCCAGCTCCTTGCTTATGGAACTGCTCCTTGCTTATGGAACTCTCCAGCTCCTTGCATATGGAACTTTCTCTTCCAGCTCCTTGCTTATGGAACTCTATCCTTGCTTATGGAACTCTTCCAGCTCCTTGCTTATGGAACTCTCTTCAGCTCCTTGCTTATGGAACTTTCTTCCAGCTCCCTTGCTTATGGAACTCTCTTCCAGCCTTGCTTATGGAACTCTCTTCCAGCTCCCTTGCTTATGGAACTCTTCCAGCTCCTTTGCTTATGGAACTCTTCCAGCTTGCTTATGGAATTTCTCTTCCAGCTCCTTGTTTATGGAACTCTTCCAGCTCTTTGCTTATGGAACTCTCTTCCAGCTCTTTGCTTATGGAACTCTCTTCCAGCTCTTGCTTATGGAACTCTCTTCCAGCTCCTTGCTTATGGAACTTCTCTTCCAGCTCTTGCTTATGGAACTCTCTTCCAGCTCCTTGCTTATGGAACTCTCTTCCAGCTTATGAACTTGCTTATGGAACTCTCTTCAGTTCCTTGCTTATGGAATTTCTCTTCCAGCTCCTTGCTTATGGAATTCTCTTCAGCTCCTTGCTTATGGAACTCTCCAGCTCCTTGCTTATGGAACTCTCTTCAGCTCCTTGCTTATGGAACTTTCTCCTTCCATGGAACTCCTTCCAGCTTTTATGGAACTCTCTTCCAGTTCTCTTTGCTTATGGAACTCTCTTCCAACTCCTTGCATAAATTCTCTTCCAGCTCGCACTTTATAAAATTCTCTTCAACTCTTTGCTTATGGAGACTCTCTTCTCCTTGCCCCTTAAATTCTCTTCCAACTCTTTGCTTGTGACTCTCTTCCAGCTCCTTTCTTATGGAACTCTCTTCCTGCTCTTGTATGGAACTCTCTTCCAGCTCTTGCATGGAATTCTCTTCCCAGCTCACTTGCTATAAAATTCTCTTCCAGCTCTTTGCCTTGGAACTTTTCTTCTCCTTGCTTATGGAACTCTCTTCAGGCTCCTTGCTTGGAATTCTCTTCCAGCTCTTTGCTTATGAACTCTCTTCCAGCTCACTTTTGTAGATTCTCTTCCAGCTCCTTGCTTATAAAATTCTCTTCCAGCTCCTTGCTTATGGA